ACGTTCATCTTGGCTCAGCCACTGCACAGCATGTTGTCCTTCTGCCCCAAGGAAAGTAGAGCTGATCGTGGGCCAGGCCTGTCCGTTCTGCACACACCTTCACTTTCTGAGCCAGCACTAAATGCTCCCAGCACAGGGTCACTGCACGGAAATCCCTCCTGGCTTTTGGGCTTCCAGCCTTTTTAAAGCAGTGAGGTGGATGCCAGATTCCTCTGTCAGCCTTAGGTGGCCACAGCACTTCCCTGCTCGCAGTGATGGGCACTGTGAATGTGCCACAAAGCCTCAGCATCCAGAGGGGCAGGGCTGGAGCCTTGGGGACCTGGCAGCACCTTCTTGCCAGAGGGATTATTCACTCTGGGCCTTCTTGTGCACTTTAATTCCAGCTTGGCCTCACCTCTGAGGCTCAGCAGCAGAGCTAGCAGGCCGCTTGGAAACATCTCCAGTGTGAGACAGCTGAGGCTTCCCCGTTTATTCCTCCCCTAACTCGTGTAGAAGTGGTGTTTGTGCAGATCTCATCTCAGTGCTGGCACTGCGGTCAGGAGGGGCTGCACAACCCCAATTCCCCGAGAGCTGAGGGGCTGCAGTGCCTCTTGGCAGCAGGGTGAGGGCCTCAGCTCTGTGTCTGCCTGCTCAACAGACCCGACACTGCTGGCTGCTTTTCTTGCTGCTTTCTTCTAAAGAAGTAGAAAAGTAGAAAAATACTAGGCTGTATTAAAGCTCTAAGCAAAGTGCTAGCAAATGCAGTTGGGGTTTCACCAGGAAAATGCTAGGTGATGTCTGTGTGTGAGTAATACAGCTGGAATCTACAGTTGCAGATCATCACTGGCGTAATATTTTGTCTGTGGTGTCTTTTTCTTTCTTTAAAGCTACTGTTCAAATACTTTAAACATCAAAGTCTTCTCTTCTACACATTATTCATTCCTGCAAATGTCTCTTATTGTGCAGTAGGATGATCAGAAAGGTATGTCTCTTTAGATATGGTAAATCAATCTTGTCGTTTTGGCAAAGTGGTTGGGAATGATTTTATGGTTATTAAGTTGAATTCAACATTTTTTTTTCAACCTAGGCTTTTTAAAATTCAAAAAACTTTCAAGCAACTTTTCAATCACCCTCTTCTTGCCTTTTCTCAAAAGTAAAATCTTACTTTTTTTGTTTCATCAGCCAATTCCTTCATCTCAGTAAAAATGAAACTCAACATAAAACACCTCATAGAAAATTGAAACCCACTGGTTATCTGAGTATGTACCCACCACCCCTGGGACTGATGGCGTGGTGCCTCCAAGGGTTCTGCTGTAGGGATGGACTTTGACATGGTCTCATTTTTCTGAGCACTTTTTGGGAAAACTTGACAACTGTCCAGATGATGGTGGATATGTTGATCATTCTTAGTTGTTGCACATTTTACAGGTTTCTTGTAGCTGGCTTAAAAGAATGTGTATTGTTTGAGGTTAGTAGGCCCAAATTAACTGACCCCAGAAGTCAGATTGACTCAGAGCCTGTTGCCTTGAGGAGCTGTATGATAGGTTCTGTAGATAATGGCTGTAAGACTGATGCTCTACCAAAGTGCTTTGCAAAATATTTTAGTCCCCTCTTGTTTTAAGTGAAATTTTCTGTCTCATACCTCAGCAGCTAAGTGGAACAGGATTTTAAATGCAGAAGCAGATGAAGTTTTCCTCTATGTCAATATCATCATGCCAGGATGGAGTGTTCTGCAGTCACCAAGAGTTAACAGAAGCAAATATAACTGTTGTAAGGTCAACATTGCACAAGACCAAGCACAGCTTCGAGGAGAGCCCCAGACAACAGCAAGGTTTGGTTTTACATACTGCTGTTACCATTACAGCCCCAGCTTATTTGACAGCCCAGTAGCAGCTCAGAAGTGCCCCAAAGCAATAAAGCATCTCTGCTGCTTTCAGGGAGATGCCTGTGGCAGATGGATATGTCAGAGTGCTGACTGGCTTTTCAGAGCCTTTACCTCTGGCTGTTTGACACCATCTTCATCTGCAGCCATCTGTCCTTCATCCAGGTGTTCCCTTTGGAACATCCCTGTGGGAGCACAGGGGTGCAGAGTGTGATCACCTGTGTGCTGCTGTTTGAATGCACCGTACCTCGGTGTGCCTTTACAGCATCCTCCTGATCCATCTTCAGTGATGAATGGAAAAAGGAACACTGTGGTGATGAACAGGAGTGAAAATCAGAGAGAGAGAGAGAGAGAGAAACTGGATTTGTGGTTTGGAATGGAATCCCAGCATTGCCTCTGGCTTGATCCATTGATTGGGAACAGCTACCAATGCCTTCCCATGATCTCTATTTGTAGGATGGGTCAGCAATTGGAACTGATTCGTATGCTTTCAGCTAAAGCATTTTCACTGAAATCCAGCTGTTACATATATTGATTTTGATCAAATTTTCTTTTGGCAACTTAAGCCTTTCCTGTGGGAATTAAAATTGGAACTTGATCCTTTTGGGCAGGAAACAGTGCTTCAGCTGAAGTGCTGTTCGTGTGAAAATATTACAGTGCCTCTTTTGCTTGGTTCCAAGGAAAAAATAAAATATATCATTTGATAATTAAATTTTTCCAGAAACACTTCTGCTGTCCTTCAATCAGCTCTAGTGTCTCTTTTGCAACTTGCCTTGAGATGTCTGAAGGAACAGTGATCTATATAAGCTACTTGTTATTTGAGTGATATTGGTTGAGGTTTCAGCCATGTGCACATAGTCTGTGGTGTGTACAGAAGAATATGAGAATATTTTAAGCTGACCATTTAAGAAAATTTACTTAGGTCAAAAAGTGGTTTCCTTTAGCTAAGCCAGTCATGGATGAGATCATGTCTGTGAAAGCCCATTTAAAACTGCACTAGTACAAAAAATCCTCATCAAAACTTGGTAAATTCTCTGAGAAAGCTGAAGGTGTTTTACAAGCCTTGGGACAAATGATAAACTCGTGTCAGAATCCAATCTGAATTCTTGTGGCCAGCTTGTGAACTTGGAGTTTATAATGGAAATAGGGATGTAACAGATTCTTAACCATATCAAGACCAGCAGGTGTTGCTATAATATATTAAATGCTGTGGAGCCTTCAAATAAGCTGCACTTGAGCATTAGTTCAATATTTTCTTAAACCAAATTGTTATTTGCTAGGAAAATGTAGTGCTGTGGGAGATTTGCAAAAAGAATACTACTGAAATAGTCAAAGCACTGGAAAATTTCAGATTCTGAGCTGCTTCTGCTGAGTGACTAAGAGAGTTTTGTTACAGCTTGAGTGAAAGATTGGATCCTGCACCTAGGCATTATTTGTGTTTAAGAATCCAGTAAGGTAGGAAATAACTAAATCCTGGATATATTTCCATATTTCCATATTTGTAAGAGATGACACTGCAGAAACTTGTGGCATCTTCTTCCAGGGATAAGATTGGGTAAGGCTGAAGTTCCAGTTCAGGATTTTTCTGCTCAACACTGGTCTCAGTGGTGATCCTCAAAAAACCAGGGGAGAATTCCTCTAGAATAGAAACACATCTTCTCAAAGAAACTGCACCCTCAGGGGCCTTGCAGAGGGTGAGCACTGGGAGGGTCAGAAGTAGGACCAGCAGTACAGAATTTATATCTCAGGAAAACCTGAGCAGGATTTGCCAAATTTCAGTGAACTCAGGAAGGTTCTAACTTTTGCTAGATTCTGAGTTGGCAGAATGAAACCAAGCAGGAAGGATGAAAGGAGAAAAATCCCCAGAACCAGGATATATGCTAGGGTAGGCAGCCCTTTAAGTGAGATGGGTGTATCTTTTTGTATAAAAGGAAGATCACTGTAAACATGAACGGAGAAGCTCTTGGAAAGTCATATTTAATGCCTATAGGCATTAAGATTAAAGAGTTAATGGTTTTGATCAGAGAGATTATCAATTTAGACTAGATATAAAGAATAAATATTTTCTGATGAGGGTGGTAAGTGCTGTCATAAGTTGCCCAGAGAGGTGGTGGATGCCTGATCCCTGGAAACATTTCAGGTCAGCTCAGACAGGGCTCTGAGCAACCTGATCTAGCTGAAGACGTCCCAGTTCATTTCAGGGGGCTTGGAGCAGATGGGCTCCTAAACATTTCTGCCAACCTAAACTATTCTATGAGTCTGTATTTCTATGGATGCTTGGCAAGAACTTATCTTGCCCGTGGATGTGGTCCCAACCATATCATTTCCATGCAGGATCCCAAGCCAGTTCTGTACTCGGGCTGCTGGGAAACCCACGGAGCTGAGCGCGTTACCAGCTCTCCCTCTCGCTGGGAGCGTGTGAACTTGTTCCATCTCTTTTCCACCGGTGAGACGGGTGGGGCATCACCTCCCCTGCAGGGCTGCAGCCAAGGACACCTTCGTCCTGCCGCCCTCAAGAGCTGTCCGTGGCGAGGCTCGGGCAGGACGAGCCCTCTCCAGGTGGGCAGAGGCGATAAAATGGCCCCGGCTCTCTGTGCGGGCGAGCAGCGCGCAGCTCCCGCGGCGGGGCCGCAGCGCAGGGCGCGGAGCGGGGCGGGCGGGGCGGCTCCCATGCCGTGTGCATGTAGATGAGAGCCCCCGGAGCACGTCACTCCGCACCGGCGCTCTGCGTTTGGGGCGGCGGACAGCGAGCGAGGGCGGGCGAGCGGGAGTCGCCGGAGGAGCGGGAGGAGGAGGAGGAGGAGGAGGCTCGGCGGCGGCTCGCAGGAGCAGCAGCGCTCGGCCCCGCTCCATGCCGCCCTGCCCGCCGCTGCGCGGGCCCCGCGGGGCGACGGCGGGCGCGGGGCGGGGAGCGGCGCGGCGGTGCTGAAGGACAGCTCCGCTCCCGTCGGCTCCGCTGCCCCCGGCTCCGCTGCCCCCGGCTCCGCTGCCCCCGGCTCCGCTGCCCCCGGCTCCGCTGCCTTCGGCTCCGCTCCCCCCGGCTCAGCTCCGCGCCCCGGGCGCTCCCCTCGCCGGGTGGCCGCGGGGCCGCCGCTCGCCGCGCCTGGATGCGCCCCCCGCCACCGCGCCCGCGGCTCCCATGGCGGTGGCACGGAAAATCAAAACTTTGTTGACGGTGAACATCTTGGTCTTCGTGGGCATCATCCTCTTCTCCGTCTACTGCAGGATCCAGGACCGCTCCCAGGAGCTGGTGCAGATCGTCCGGAGCGCGGACCGCCGGGCCAGGAGCCGCGGCGCCAAGGTGGGCAGCCTGGCCGACAGGGAGTCCATCCTGCAGCGCCTGGACCACCTGGAGGAAGTGGTCTACAACCAGCTCAATGGTACGAGGGGCGGGGAGGGGACATCCTGTGCCCCGGGAGGGTGCTGCTGGCTGGGCAAGAGCCCCCGAAGTGTCCCCCCGCCGGGGAGGGGAGCCCGGCACCGATCGAAGCGACCCCAGCACGCAAGTGCTGAGAAGCGAGGGCAAGAGGTGATGCAGGGTTTTGCTGGAGGGATTTGTCGAGCCTCCCACCAGCACCCTGCCTCTCTGCCAACTCTTGGTCCAAAGTCAGGACTTCCTCAATAGATGCAAAGTTCAGGAGGCTGCAGTTCAGGGGTTTCAGGATCAGAGGAAGTCCCCACAAACTGTACCATGTTTTACAGTTTGCCTGGATATATTAACTCTGCATGGGAAATCGTTTGTATAGCAAATACAATGTTAGATTATAGCTGAAAGTCATATACTTGGTTTCAGAACTACTTTAAAAACATCCTGCTGGGTTCTTACATTGTGCACTATTAATGGTCTGTTTAAACATAGCACCCATATGTTCCCTTAATGATTTTTCCATTTAAATTTGTTATTGTCATTGATGAGGAGGGGAAGTATCCACCAGTTCTTTTTATGACTTACTATACTAATTCACCAGCCTTGAAAAATATTGCTAGATAAGCAAAGAACCCTTCCATGATAGTTAAAACAGGCTAAACCATCAAAGTTGTTATAGGACAGATAACATTTCATATAGAAACTAATTCTTCAAAATGAGTTCATTTGTATTTGCATAGATTTGTAACGTTCTAAGTGTGAGACATCAAAGAAATAAGTATGTGATTAAATACAGCAGTGTTTTGGACAAGAAAAGGCTGAAGGAGTGAGCTTTTGCATGAAATTATAATATAAATGTAACATTTAGTGTTTCACAGCAAATAAAATTTTTAGTGTAAATATGTTTAAGTAGAGCAAATGTGCTTCTAGGCTGCATGTGGAAATCTTACTCGTAACATTGATTTAAGAAAAGCTACTGTAGCCTTAAAATACAGACAAATAGGAGGGTTAGCATAAAGTATGTTTCCTATTAATACTTTGTGAATGAATGTATAAATCTAAGTAAGTTAGGCTGTTATGGTAACATGCAGTTTGTGCCAGCAAGTGTTAGGGACAGGCATTCCCTCACACTCTCCTCAGGATAAACAGGGCAGAGAGAGGGGGAACGTGGAGTGGGCTGTTAGTCCCAAACCCACACATCCAGGAACTAGAGGGAAAGTATCAATAGCTGTTTTTTCCAACCATATTCTGGAACAGTTTTGAAGAATGGAGGATTTAAGAGGAAAATCCTTCTCGTGAATTCCACAAAGCCACAAAGTTCCCAAACTAAATTAGATCGCTCTGCAAGATGTATCCATTCCAGATAAATTAATGGGTTTTTTTGGTCCAGATAGATTTGTTCTTTGTGTTGCTCATAGGGGAGACTTTGGATAGGATTTCCCTGTGCTGTGTTCATCTCAGCATAGCATCCCCTGGAGAATCAGCAGGAGTCCTTAACGTGCTAGGCAGGCACCATCGCACACAATGACTGGAAGTTCTCTGTAAAGCATGCCTCTATTTTGGGAACTGTTTCCTTCATCTTCTTTAATTCCATTTATTGGATATGGATCTTCATGGTGAAATTACTTGAACTTACTGTTACGTTGCTTTCTCAGCAACATCAAACACCGCAGGCAGTTTTCTTTTCCTGAAAGTTCTTACATAGGAAAATACAGGAAGTTTTTCAAGCTGAGCTGTTCAAATTTCCCATTTATTTCCCCTTCATTTTCATCTGATGTGGTTGTTTGGTTTCTTATAATTACACAGTAGTACATTAACACAGATTAATTCTTTCATCATCATCCTGAAAAAAATACTTTTTCCCCCCCCATCATGTTTCAACAGAAGCAAAAAGTCCTAAGAAATTGGGAGATGCTCCACTGAAATCACCAGTGTTGCATCGCTGTAAATGGAATCAGCACCGAGCATCTCTGGGTTTAGCTCACTGCTATTCTGTTTGTAATATCATGACTCATTATTTATGCCATTAGTGGGCATGAATTGCTGCTCAGCAGTGGGATTCAGGGGAGCCTGTCTGACAGAGCAAGGCTGGTGTTACACAAACACTCCGTGTGCTCTGGAGCTCTGCAGCTTCACCTGAATGTTGGGTAAGGTTTCTCAGCCCCTGTCCTGTACATGCTGCCTGATACAAGGTTAGAGAGCTGACTGAGGCTGTCTTGGATGGTACTTTTTCATAAGGTGGGTCGAAGTCTCTTCTATGTGGAGAGACAGACATGGGTAGACAGATTTTATTCAGGAGGAATACCAGTTCCTTGCATACCCAGAACCCCTCAAAGCACCAGGAGGCTGAGTCCAGCTCAATTTTATCACTACAGCAGGTCAGGCCAGCCCAGTATTTCAGTTTTCTGCTCTTGGTCCTTTTCTCTTTGAAATCAGCAAATTTAGAGGTACCATACAAAGTATGTCTTTGTTAATAACATCTTAGTGTTGTTTTATTTAATTTCTCTCTTCTACTCAGATGAGACCTGAACTCATAAGACCTACCTGGATTTTCTAGGGACTCTGTTGATGATCCATTGCAATAAAAAGTCACTCTGTGAAAGACCAGCCCTGCAGCTGCACAGAATTTTGTTTCTGTCACACATATTTGTTTACATACAATCAAGGAAATGTTATTTAGAAGTGTGTACCTTCTGCAAGGAAAATAAACACAGGCAGTAACGTTACAAATGTATAAAGAGGCAACCCAAAACTGATCACTTGAGAACTCATTAACTTTTCAGTCTGAATAAAATCAGTGAGTGCAGTGCAGAACGCAGAGGACCATGCATGAAAGTCAGGAGAAAGCTGGTCCTTGCAATTATCTTTGGCAGAACAAGAGTTTTTAGAATAGGATGAATGAGAATTGCCACGATTCCCTGCAGAGTCATGCAGACATACACCCAAACAATAGTTTTCGTTTGGCTCGTGCTCTGGTTTTTTATCAACTTGGGGAAAACTGTATTTCTGAAAGCTTTCTTTTCGCTCAGCTGCTGCTGGGTTTGGTGGAAGCAATTGAACAGAGCATGTAAAGGGAAGGGAAAGCAATGAAACGTGTCAGTGGAATTTTCTTGGTGAGACTTTGTATTGCCTCCCGATGTTTGACCTTGGGTACAATGTTTATTTTGAAAAACTGAGTTATTATAGAGCTAGTTGAGCAATCCATATTTTCTTTTATTTTTTTGCTATGGTATTGCTGTTGATGGATCTATTTTATTGTCATTCAACACAAAACTCATGCCAGCTAGACTTGGTAGCAATTCATTAAATGCCATAATGATAACACCTTGGTGTTTTCTTCCTTTGCCTTTACTTTTTTTGTAAAGGGGAAAAATTTTAAATTATTTAATTGGCTGAATTTTTTTTTCTCTAATCAGTTTTGCATCTAAGTCTGTTGCTAATGATTCACTATAGAGGATAAAGAAATTTTGATGCCCCAAGTAGAGCATAACCTTTCATGCCAAAAGCAATTGAAGGTCAGACTACAATTTCAGTCTAATTGCCTTTTTCCCTTTTCACTGTCCCGTTCCAGTAATACACAACAATCAATACAGCATGTAATTAGATTTCATTCAATCTGCAAAGATAAAGAGAGCTTTCATCTTCTCATTATGTATTCTCACATCATGTCTTCTTACCCATGTCTTCTACACTAGACCCCTTTGACCTGTTCTATTTTAGATGTGGAGGGATAAGTTGGGAGTATTCCCTTGAATTTGGCAGGTTATCATTTGTTACACGTCATAATTTGATTTTGCTCTCTTTGGGAAGATTAAATGCAATAGCAATTTCCAGTGTGATAAATGGGGTTCACATCACATATGCATTTCATGGAGGAGGCTGGGGAAAAAGGTGGACAATTCACATAATTGCAGCAGAGAGGCTTAAAATGATGGAAATAGCAGGTCCTGGGTGCAGAGTCTGATTCCTGCTGACTGGGACTCCTGATTTTTAGAGTGCACTGGAAGCAAAGTGATTGCATTTAAAATTCATCCTGGCAATCTGCATAGGTAAAAGTTACAGTAGTATTTTTAAAAGGGGAGTTTATTCTTCATAAGGTTGGGATTGGTTGAAAATGGGTCCAAATTTCCATGTTTCAAAGTAAGGGTTGGGAACAGGCTGCAGGAAAGTCATGTGAATGTCCACATCATGTCCACATTATCAAAAAGAAGTTTATACAGCTGGCAGCTCTCATCTGAAGAGCAGTTCCTTGGTAGAGGAGAGAGGTAAAGCTGTGCACAGGTCACATTTAATGTGACTGCAGCTGTGTACCAATGAAACTGCACCTTCTCATACCCACACCTTTTAGAACTATTTCTATTTTATATGTTTATGGTCTGCTGCTAACATACATCTGGCAAAATTAACACCTAAACATCTCCAGAAATACCAGCTCACCTGTGGGCTCTGATCTCAGCTGTGTGGTTTCCTTCTCTTCACCTGGTCTCCTTTTGAGGACATTTTTAGGTTGGTACTCATGAAGGCAGGAGAGAAAAACACTAACTTTTTTTTTTTTTTTTTTTAAGTTAGGCTGCCATTTTTCCATTTCTTGGCTTACCACACAGTAATTTCTGTTGTGCTGGGTCATTTTCTCAAGCTTGGGTAAGTCACCATTGCTACAATCCTGACATTCTGTATTGCAAAGTTATGGCCAAGTCTGACAGACTGATTTCCCCATCACATTTGCTTTAGTTGTGTTAGTCTCATTTATGTAGCTGAGGGAACTCACAGTCAGTGCTTTCAGGAAGGTCAAGGTTTAATTCCTCAAAACAACAGAAGGGAAACCCAATGAGCCAATATTTGGATAGCTCCTATATAAATATAAGGTAATATTTGAAATAGTATTATTCTATTCAGCACTTTAGGAAGAAAAGTTCTAAAAAGTTTAGTTAAAAAGGAGGGCATGTCTCTTTTGTAAAACAGGAGAAATTTCACTCAGCTCTGCAAAATACTGACAAATAAAAAAAAATATGT